TTTTTTTCTTCCATCAGGGTTGATGCTGTATCAGCATTACAAGTAATATCAGAAGCTGCTAAAGTCAACATATCTGTCTAAAGACTTTGCAGAGTCTCGGCAAAGGCATTGTTCCCAGCGATACACCACGAGATAATGTACCCAATCAGGGAATGAGTGGTCAGCACATATCACTCAGTGAGCTTGAGTCACAGATGAGTCACACCACGTTTACGTCATCTGGGCAGGACGAGGAAATGCGAGACTCAGAAGAGGAAGAAGAACTAAGAATGCTGGAGAAGGAAAAGAAAATAAGCCAAGGTTCTGATTTCTTGATGCAGAGGCACCTAAAAAGTGGAGCTACCAATGGCGAGGGTTCATTTACAAAGTCCTCAAGGCAAGCCTCTATGACTGCGCTGGTTGGAACCCCACATGACAGGACTGATGAAGCGTTAAGTGGGGAAAGCGTCGATGGTCGTATCACCGAGCAAAGTAGTAAACCAAATACGGTGCCTGACATCAGTAGTCGGGAAGAAAGTTTAGATTCGGCTGGCGGTATTCCACGTCTACCTAATTCTGATGATCAGATGATATCAACGGAAGACAGTGATCTTGCTCCGGGGGAGAACAGTGAAACTGAAGAATCGCGTGTAGATGTCACCAAGATGGAAATGAAAAACTTGAAAGCAACGCCACAAATAAAACGTGAAGTAACCTGGGATGATAATGTCACAACCTCTTCCAGGGGGCCATCAGGAGTTTATAATTTGAGTCGTAGTTCTATGCGTAGTGGCGCCAAGAGTCCAAAGTCTGTTACCATAGACCCTGTACCGAATACAGCGTATTATGCAGAGGCTGGTACCAGTCTTCCGAGTGGTAGAGCTTCGGAGGCCACAACATTGACATCATATAGTAATGCCCCAGTAAGTGGTTACTCATTTTGTTAATGAAGAGCTTTTAGTCCTTGCTTGGGCAGACGTGACAATCAGACACAGAATTTTATTTTACACCTTATGAGTGGGAGAAGGGGGTTCAGACTAAACAGTAAAATTACATTCTTTAAGCTTCTTTGACAGTGCACGTCCATTCATTAGATCCTCTGAGTTCTGTGATGTACCTGTATTTATTCCCTGTAATGTTTTTACATTTTGCCAACTACAATTTGGCTCCAATCAACCTGTGTGTACATTCTATTACCAGATACCGGAATGTCCTGGATTATACGGTTGGAGGTGGGAGGTAGCGTACATCTACGCCGAAATCATGACGTTTCTTTGCCTGAATGGTAAAACTGCCAATATACAGAAACTGGCGTTACAAGGTAGTGGTAAAGTTAAGGCATTGCAGTATAAACAAGAAAAGATAGGACCGCTTGAAAGTGCTGGGTTATTGGATCTAGTGGATTTTCATGCTAAAACAAGAAACTAGTGACAGGGGTAGGTTTTTTTGTTTTTCTGTGTATACCTATGTTTTTCTGCTCTTAATTTGCACAAAGATTGCTTAACCAATGAGTAAATTTTAAGCAATCAAAATGGTCTTTGTATATTTACAGTTTTCTTCTCCAATCAAAATTAAAATATTTTGTATATCAATAGCAAAATGTAAATAATGCATTAAATAAATTACATCCATGTACTGAATGTTTTTAATACTTAAAATTTGCCATATACATATTTCAATTGTAGTTATTCTATCATAGAAA